TCATGTCTTAACTTGTTTTTAAAAAAACTTCTAAAATTTTCTCCTGAAAAGCCCACCACCTAAATCATGTCCTTCATTGCAGGAAGCTCCCAAGGGAGACATTTCCTGGTTCCATGCCACCAAAGCAGTGTGATTTTCTAGTACATATTTCTTGTCAGTCCATGACCACAATCCCCCCAAGTCTTCAACACTTTAACAGGGACCCTTGCACTGCTAAAAGAGCCCTTTGTGTAACAAGGCATTTCACAAGGGCAGGTTTCTTGGCCTTGAAATGCTTTGTGCCTGGAGTTCTTGAACTGGGAGTGCTCTCCAGGCCATAGGGTTAAATATTTAAGGCACTGGCTTGAAAATTGAACAGAAAGACTCACCAATCTTGTTACAGTTGAGAGGTTTGAACATTCAATCACTCTGAGTCATAGTTACGTGTTGGTTTAGAGAGTTGACGTGACCCCAAGGCATTCACAAACATCAAGATTCCAACTTTTGTGAATTTGGGGAAGAATCATTTGGCAGTTTCAGTTCAGCTTTTCCCCTTGGCTTAAAGTAGCACAAGCAGTCCTTATAAAGACCATTCTCATATCTAATTAATCCAAAAACGTGACAGTCATTCCCTGCAGCTAAAACCAACCTGCTCTAGGATGGTGAGGCTATAGTGAAGTGGGACAGGTTAAGCCTGTTGGTGGCAGGGGTTCAGGGAAGATTCTGAGGCACAAAAATCAGCACCAACCCCACAAATCTGTCAAAAACCTTGAGTTTCTCATTAGATTTCCAGCTGCTCCTCACACCATTCTACATTACGATTCCTACATGTGCCCCTTCCTTTCCTGTCACAACTGGTGTGGCTTTTCAGCTGATCAATTCCAAATGCAAAGCAGGTTAAGGATTCCATCCAGCTTTAGTAATTGAAAATGTGTTTATAATTCATGTGTCTGTCATTTTACTGGCTCCAGAGAGATACAGAATTAACAGAGAGATTCTTTCCAGAGAAGGAGGAGGGCAGGGTGGAAATCTGAGTAGTGAAACTCACAGGGTAGAATTCTGTCCTCTGACCAAATTGCACTTTAAATGAAACCTTGGCATCCCACAGAACAGTCCTCCTGGAACACCTGGCAATTTATTCCTAACACCGGGGCCACGCCAAGCACCCAGTGCACTTTCCACCCACATGCCATTGGCACAAACCTCATACCCAGTATGTCCTCACAAGCCAGAAACAAATGGGATCGAGAGAAGCACTGCCAGAAAAGCAGCGAGGAAAGTTGTGACAAACAGAAGTTTCCAAGTGATTCTGGTAGAATTAATCATTGACAGGGGCTGAAAAGAGTAATTCTTGCCATCAGACTCCCCAGCACAGCCAAGTAATCACAGAATCATTAGCGACAGTGAAGTGAACAACTTGGGATTTCCATCCTATATTGCCTGCAGGCCACACAGTCTGGAAAAGGTTTCCTGAAGAGACAGGTAATGAGGTTGCATAGCAACATCCCTGCCACACCTTAGGTTTTGAGGCACAGATTCAGCCACTGTCACACTGTCCCAAGTATCTGAAGGGAAAACCTTCCTCTCTCTTCCATAAGCTCCCAAGGAGACCCAAAAGCCAAGCAGAAACCCCTGCTGTGCCCCAGCAAGCCTCGAGTGGTAACACTGCAGCCAAAGAAGTGGATTAGGCTGGATCTGACCCAAACTGCCACAGTGTGTGGAAAGTCAATCCCATGTATCCAGTAAAACTGAATCTGTCCATGCAGTTTCTGCACTTTGAAGGACAATGGCAACTTCTTAATGATGAGTGAGTTCCCCATTGGATCTCATTCCTAGTGTTGGCCACACTCCTTTCCAGTTAAGCACTCCACACGTGTCCCTCCTGCAAATGAGTGTACACTGGACACAACCTGATTGCCATCCCAAGAGTGGCAAGGGTTTTCCAAGGAAAGTGAAAAGCAGTTCCCCATCCTGCTGAGCATGGAAAGGGACGCTGGAGACATTGAATTTAGAGGGTTTAAATGGGTGCCCCATCCCTGGAAGTGTCCAAGGTCAGGTTGGATGGGGCTTGGAGCAAGCTGGTGGGGTGGTATGAGCAGAAAGGTGCCTCTGGGTGCCCTGCCCACGCTGCAAGTGCCCCCCACAGTGCCCTGGTCCCTGGCAGGGCCGTGGGGACACTGGTGCCACAGGTCTGGTGGAGTGCACAGAGGGGGGTCTGTCCTTCTGGATGATCAAGCACCGCTGCCACTGCTGGGTACGCGTACAGTGTTGATTTGGAGTCAGATCCAAAGGTGCTTTACAGCCACAGCTGCCAGTTTGCGGGGCTGCACTGGGCAGACAGAGCCTGCTGTAGTGCCACTGCTCGTCTCGTGCTGTGTTTGGGAACCTGCCGGTTCCTGCTCATGAGGAGGCTGATACACCAGACTTACTGCCTGAGGTACAAAACACTCTCCAGAGTAATCACTCCAACAACTGGATCAGATAGAAACACATACTTAGAAATAACAATTGTGATGCCAGGGTTTCATGTTTTAAATGTTCTGTCTCTCCCTCCAGAGTTCTCCTGGGAATGTAGGCCAGCCCTGGCACTGCAGGGATGGTGTTTAATAGCAGCATAAGAAGAACTGACAGTCACTGTTTCCTCCCACATTTTTCAGAATAGCAACACACCCAAACTGAGCTTGTAACATAGACACTGCCAGGATAATTTGTGTATCACGTTAACAAGGTTTGACACTAATGCTAATTCTTCATTAGAAGAAATATGACAGGGAGGCTGATTTCATATGCATTTAGCATTGAAAGATTTCCAGCACATGCAGTGAGACTTGCACTGCTGTCTGACAGCTTTGGCTCTCTTGGTCTCTGCTCAGTCAAAGAAGAGGTGCAGCCAACAGTGCTGCTGTCCCCTTCTTTGACTGTGCTGGGGTCCTGGTGAAGAGAACAAGTCTTTGTGTACAGGTAGAGACAGTTTAGTTTAGTTTGGGGTCTCCCTCCACAGACACTGCAGAGGAGCACAGAAATGGGAGGATGTGGCTTTGCTGGGGTGTTGGATGAGATTTTAGAAGCTGCCTGTCTCCGGGGATGGGCAGGGAAACAGAGATTTCCTGTGACTGGGAGCAACACAGGGCCTTGGCAAGGCAAGAAAATCACTCTGGCTTCAGGTCACCGTGTGCAATTCCATATCCAGGTTGTCTCACACAACAGCAGGTTCTTGTCAGCCAGTTCCCAATATCCCTAAGGCCCATATCTATCAGCCCAAATGCTGCACAGCTGCAGCTGTCAGCAGGAGGGTGGATTTCAGCCTCGAGGTGCCCAGTGGTGAGCGGGCAGGAGGCTGCGGTGTCAGCCCGGCACAGCCCTCGGGACCCTCCCTGGGCCCGTGGCAGGGAAGGGGCAGGTCCCTGCTAACGCGGTTCTGCTTCCAGTTGGGCTCCAGGGGCTGAGCCGGGGACAAACATCCAGGTCTCTCGCCACAGGGAACAGCGGAAGGAAGCCCCGTGTGCCCAGCTGGAATGAGAGCAGGTGCACCCTCCAGGACCGACTGGCTCTGATTTCTCTTCCTGAATTCTCTCCAGGCTCAGGAGGGGCACACAGCCCCCGGCACAGGCCACGCTGGGCTTGTTCCTGCTGAGCTGGATGGGAGGCTGTGCCCGTCAGACCCGCGGGTGCTGGGGACCTTCCCGGAGCCGTGCAGGGGACAGGGACAATCCCTGATGGAGGTAAAAGAGCCCCCTTTTCCCTGAGGCTCTGAGCTTCCCATCTCAGCTGCTGCAGTGCCCCGTGGGCAGCTGGGCTGGGCTGGAGGGGCACACGGGGGGAGCAGGAGGGCGAAGGCTCCAGCCCTGCTGCTACAACCTTCCACCACTACAGCCAACAGAGGAGCCTCTCCAGCCCTGCCTCCCAAGGCATCCTCAACAAACCCAGCCCAGCTCCACAGGACAAACTGCTCCCTGTCTGCCCAGGCCAGTCTAATCCCAGAGGCTCCCAGGTCATGCAGAAGAACTACTCAGGAGATCAGAGACTCCAGTCCATCTCTTCCTAGCACAGGTTTGGGTGAGTTTGGCAAAGAGGGAAACTGAGGAATTCCCCAATGTTTTCCCAGTTTAACCCCTGTCACACCAGTCACCTTAACACTGCCAGTCCTTAATTCTCCCTCAATTGGGTTAAGGACTGAGGAAGTTGGACCTGTGTCTGACCAGGACATGTGCAAACCAAATGCTGGGGACTGGAACACACACCTGGCACTCCTGCAGCTCTTACAACTACATTCAAGAGAAAACAGCCAATTGGACAATCACTGCTCATTTCTTAATCCCAATCCCACACTGCTTTGGCACTTGGAGTACCACTTTTATCACCCAATTGCAGTCCATTAGAGAGCTCCCTGTCTAGCAGGGACAGGGACCCCTGGGATACTCTCAGCAATGCCTGAATCCATTGCAGGGACCTTGCTTTGAGCTCCCCAGGGCCGGGCACCCCGAGGATCTCCCCGAATAATCCTTTCGGTGCGCGCTGGAGTCCTCGGGGTGCCCCAACCCGGGGGGCACCAACAGCACTGTCCCTCCAGGGGCCAATTTGGTCCCAAAATGCAGGGGGATCTTGCCTGTGTCCCAGACTGGTCCGGAGATCTGAGGCCCTTCCCGAGAAAATCTCGGTGCCGGCGTGAAGGGCCAGAGATCCCTTGGAGCCACGGGAGAGCAGGCACAGAGTCCCTCCTGGGGGGGCAATTCTGCTGCCTGAAAACAGCTCTTCAAAGAAACCTCTAAGACTCAGCTGGTGAGTTTTAGAAGCCAGGCATTCCTACACACTCTAACATATTTTAAGAGCTTACTGAGCTAAACACATAAAGCTTTTATCAGGGACATCTGACCTCCCACAGACAGCTCTTTTCCCCTTTCAGTATAAAATTATTTTCATGGAATCATTTAATGGGAAGTGCCCAGGAACCCCAGAATGTGCTTTCCACGACAGAAAATAAACAGAGGGAAGGAGCTCTGCACAAGTGTAACACACTCCAGAACAAACCTGACATTAATTTTACTCTTTATGTTCAAATGTAGGAGAAGATAAACACTCCAGCAGGAGAGCTGGCACATGACCCATGGTACCCTCAAAGTCCCTCTCACGAGGGCTGTAGGAAAATTGCAGTTGTACAAGTGCCTTGTGCCTGCAGATGCCTGGGGATCCTCTCCATCCACCTCGTGCTCTTCCAACAGGAGAAAGGGTGACCTCAGGGACACGGTGGCACTCGACATCCTGCTGAGAGAGCAAGGAAACCTTTAGCAGAAAGGTGAGTTGGAATCTAAAACTTCCTTTCCTGGGAGCTTTGTGAAGCCTGCAACCAAGAGGGGGAAAATTTGCATCTCCTTTGGTGCAGGTGTCAACAGAGGCCAACAGAGCTTCCACCTTTTTCAGACAACTGTGCCCTTTTTGGCTCCCTGGCAGCTCCAATGGCACCAGAACCCCCTTCCTGCACACCCACGGCTGTCACACACAGGCACCCACACACCTTTGCTCCAGCCCACACGTGGCCAACATTTCCTCACCCTGCACATCCCAAGGGCAGTAGTTTTGCTAGAGAGCACAGCAACCCCCCTGTCCGTGCAAACTGCCTCCCTGCAAAAAAGGAACCATTTCTCCTGGACACTTCTCCCACAGTCAAGGTCTTTTCAAACTGCTGTCGTGCCACCAAACCTGCTCAGGGTCCCTCCCAGCTTCTGCCTGTCCTTGCATTTAAAGGCACGGGCATATTCTACCTTCCAACAGCAAACCCAGCTCCTCACTGGCAGTAGAAGCCCTGCTCTTACCTGGACAGACTGCCGGGCTCGGCACAGCTGTGGCTCATGGAGCAGCTTCCCAAGGCCCTTCTCTCTCCCGGCAGGAAGCACAACTCGCCTCCACTCCCCAGCACCAGGGGAAACCACGAGCCAGGCTGCAAACTGACACAGAACGAGCAAAAAGCATTAATGCAGCACCAAGAAACTGAGACCAGTCTTCCCCTCGTACGGGGAAAGCCTTTGGGATTCCGAGGCAAAGCCTGAGACACTCAGAGAGCACCAGCCCCGCAGCCCTGCCACAGCTCCCCCGGGGTCACCCGGCAGGTCAGCAAAGGGGCTTACCCGGGCCCGCCGCCCAGCACAAGGCGCCCCTAAACGCCCCCGGCTCCCCGGTGCACAAACCCAGCGGCCAAGGCGCTCTCCCTCAGGCAGCAGCGGGGCCGCACCTCAAGCCTCCACACACAACCCGCCCCCTTCCCCGGCCTTTTATACCGCGGGCCGGCAGCGCTGCCAATCAGCACTCGAGCGCCTCCGCCCAATCCAGCCCGCCTGGCCCTGCGGCCCGCCCCGCCGGCGCTCGAAAAAAAAGAGCCGCGGGCGCGTACTGCGCATGCCCACGGCGGAGCTGCAGCCGACCGCTAACATCTGCGGCGCTGGGGCGGCAGCGCCCCCTGGCGGGCTCCGAGCGGTGCCGCCTGGCGAGTTCCAACCGGTACTGCGGGCGGGGGGCGTCCCGAAGGCGCTCCCTGTGGAATTCCACCCGATCCTGTGCCTGCTGAGCACAGCCCATCTGTCCCCGACCCCGGCCCAGCGCTGCCCGCGTGCCGCCTGCAGGAGCAGAGCAGCAGAACCTGATGTGCCAGGGAAAGGCCAGGTGCTCCCTCCTGCCCGGGGAAGCTCTCGCTGCATGTCCTGCGAGGGACACTCCTCTTTGCTGAGGGGCCCTGAGCCAGAGTGTGGACTTGGTCCTGACCATGGAAACAACCACCCACCCTGTATCCCAAACAGACCCCTCACCTCCCTCACGTGCACTCCAGGCAGAGCACTCCATGCTGGCAGGTCACAGTGGCCAAGAGGTGACACGAGAGCTCCAAGTTTGTGTGACACGAGAGCTCCAAGTTTGTGTCCTTGGTCCGTCAGGACAAATGCGGTGACCACACGTTGCCAAGAGCACCATTTGTGTAGCTACACTTTGGGACTTGCTGGCCGTGAGGGCTGCAGGGCACCCCCTGGTCCTTGGTGCTCAGCTATCCAATAGATCACTTTTCCATGCTGTATTTCTCCACATGAAATGCACCACAAAGGTGTTTGTGAAACCACAGGACTCTCTAACCGGGCCTGAGCATGGGCACTGCCACGGGAACAGGCAAGGCCTCAGCAGCACAGAGCAGGTTGCTGCTTTGTCACATCCCTCAGCTGCTCTGGCATTTCCTCACATTTTACTGCCACTGCAGGCCTAAACATAAACTCTGCTGCTGATAAAAGGTGCTCCTGAAGAACTTTAAAGATGCAAGACTTTGTGGCACAACTAAAACCAGGCCCTGGCTGACCCTGTTTGGTTTCGGATCCCATGATGTCCTGCCCTCCCCCTCAGCCCCAGAGAACACAAGTCTGCACGATTTACCTCACAAGCCAAGACCCCAAGGCCTGAACATGCAGGCCCCCAGCAGTGGCACAGGGGATTGTGCTCCTCCAGGCATCTTTGGTGCCAGCAGATCTTGTACCTGTCGAGGCTGCTCCTCTGAGGACTTTTTGGTGACTCCAGATCTGGGGCTTCTATAGGATCCTGGTTTTTCATTCCAGTGTTTCAACTCACACAACTGCACCACTTTTCAGACACTTCCCAACTGCCATTTATCAGGAAATACTACTGCCAAGACATGCCCTTGGCAGGACACAGCAGACAGCAGCTACCAGGAATTTCACCCAGAGCAGAAGAGCTCCAGATTCCATGACTCAGCCACACCTCATCTATGAGCAGTGTGAGAATAACCCTTTTACCAACCTTTTTGGGTAACTTCTAACAAACACAAGAAGTAACAAAACAGGGACAATCACTTCTGCACCATCAAGAGTAAGAAGCCCTAAAGTGCAAAGCAAGCAATTCCAGTTGATTTTTTTAAGATAACTCAGCTCACAATTCTCCCAGCACCACCACAACATCCACGGAAGCTGTATCCTGTAGCCGGATGCTGCAGCCTGGCAGGGTGTGGAGGAATACCACCTGGGACACCTCTGAGAGGAGCTTGTGTCCTCCCCGGGCCACACATACCCTGAGGTGAGAGAAGCCACCGAAGTCAAATACTTCAAGGTTCATGAGGCCGCGGTACTGTGGGTTCCCACTGTCACTGGCCAGGTCAGCACCAATGTTCTTACAAGCTTTCCTGTAAGCCAGGGGTGACAGTGCTCCACAGCACCTGCATGCAAGAGAATTAGGGACATGGATAAATGCTGCAGACATCAGTAGTTTATTGGTATGTTTAGTCAAAACACATTCAGAATGGAAACTTAAAAATACTTTCCACCTGCAACAATTAAACTAGAATCTACTAGCATATAATGCTTGACACGTTACAGCAATAAAGATGGTAATCCACTGTCTTGAATACCTACTAAAGCCAAGATGGTCAGCCAAGTTTGTTGAAATGGAACCGTAATGACAAAATACTCCCACCATTCACAAATCAGCAACTAACAGTAATGGTCAGTGAATCCCTTCCTTTGCTCTAAGAGATACATTTATTATTGAGAGGGTCGAGAACACATAAGAGTCCACAGTACAGCAGGTGAGCTATCACCATGTAAACTTCTCTGGATGATGTTCCAAGGGTTCGTGTCATTTAAACAAGAAGCAAGCCAAAAAGCAGAATGGCTCAGTGGCTCTTTTTACTACTCTGTTTTTGTTCTTGATTATTTCCAGTGCCATTTGCCATACGAATGAATTAGGTGGCAGCAAAACACCACAGCACTATAGAAGGAAAAAAAACCTCTAGGCTACACAAACCACACTGGTGGCAAATTGCTAACTGGTAACAGCAATTTGTCCGAAGGCTTCAAACCTAGAGAGTGGAGTTGTGTGGCCAGCAGTTCAAGTACTACAGATTTCCAGGTAACAGCTGAAATTGCGAGACCTTCAACAAAAAAACTGAAATATGAAAATGCAAACTGGAAGAAATGCATCCCGGGAAAAAAAGCGTATGAAAATAGTGCAAGACTTACCATGGAACACAGAAGACCTCAAGTCTGGCAGAGAACAGACAGATGCCACTCCACCTCGCCTAGCGTAACAGAAAATATGTGCAAAATCCTCCAGCTTACTGGAAACCAGCAAATGATTGCATAATCCAGAGACAGATTGCTAGCATGCCCTCTCTGCTTCTGCTTGAAATTGCCAGTTTTGTATTTGAGGTCTCCCGTGCTCAGCAGCAGCTTCAAGTGGTCACACTTTCGCACAGACGCACCCCCCCTCTGCTCCTGACACCTTGGAGCCGGCGCCGGCCGCGCGCCCTGGCAGAGCCCAGCTGTACCGTCTGCTCCAGCTGCAGGTTACAGGAATGTGCTCCACAACATCAGCCAGGAACACAGCTCTCCGCTGGAAAACCCACCGGTCAAACTGCAGAAGAGGAGGTCTCCTTGCTATCCTTCGCTCCAGAGCCACATCAGTGCCAACTTCAGCTGAGAGTTATGTGCAACATGAGTACGAGTTTTTTAAAAAGTGCAACTGGAAAATGCAAGAACTTAAGAGCTGCTGTTTAGTTCTCTGAAAATTGCAGTATCCCCGTTTTAGAAGCTCACCTTCACAAAAGATGCTCAGGTCTACTCACTAGGAGCTGCCCAGAAGCATCCACCGTTCTGGACTGACTTCTGCAATTCATGTCCAAGAGATTGCAACTCTGCTTCCTTTAACTCTGACATTGATTAAAAAGAAGAGACAACCTGGAGTCTACTTGGATGCCTTCTTCCTCCCTTCCCCCCTCTGCAAAAACACAGGCGAACTTGTTAATTGAAGAGCAAGGTGGATGATCATTTTAGCAACGTTTACTCATTGAAAGATACTGCAATTTTTTTTAATACAATTTTCCAATTATTTTCTTTAAATGCTTTGCAGCCACTTGGCTTTGCAGCACAGTAATTCATACACTATACTGTACAAAATCACCAGCAAGACTGGAATGATGTATTCATAGAAGGCACCATCATGCTTATTACATTACCAGAGAACTCAAATACAGTCAAGACAAGTTTCACTGTACAACGCTTCTCGAAGGGGAAAGGGGAAGGAGGAGTGTGTTGAGCAGCCATCCCTGCACTGAAGAGGGGCAGATAGAAAAATCTGACGTGAGCTATCAAACTCGTTGCGTACTCAGGGCTACGACTTGGAAACTCTGGGTTCTGGTTAGTTTACAGCTAAATGGATTCCTTCTGGAACAAAGGTGTAGTCTCGTTAAGGTTTGTGTGTGTACAGAGGTTGGTCACAGCAAGCAGAGCGGACGCCCGCACCGTTCCCCAAGCTATTCTGTCTGAGTAAGAGGATGAAGGCTTTCCCTCCAATGCCTCCTGCAGCTGTCAGTATGAATGAGTTCAGAGGACCCATTAGTGCATTTTGATGAGTGCGTAAACACGAGTTGGTTTGGAGCCGAGTGTTCTAAGAAGGAAAAAAAAAAGGCAAGCTTCTCCAATTGCACAAATTGCACTATTTGTGTTTCCAACAGTAGTAGGCAGAAACGGCAACACTTACACAAAATGTGCAGCAGAGGGTTTTTGACTGAAAGGACCTGAAAGCTACTGGGCGTGTCCTTTAGTTCACTTTTGTTGCAGATAGTTAACCGGTCTTTTTTTCTTTTCTTTTTTTTTTTCTTTTCTTTTTTTTCAGTCCTCAATTCTCCAAGTCTACATTTATAAATTAACAGTGTGACTCCTGTTGTGAAATTGGGGAAAGAACGTCCACCTCAATTTAAATTGGAAACCAAAGGATGCTTTCACATCAAAGAAATGATCAGAAGGGCTGTGTCACATTCCAAAGCCAAAAAAAATTAACAAGAATGCAAACACGATGGATAATGTACCACTGACAAGACTGTCTGCCCCCAGTGGAGACTTCAGCGGCGCTGTCCAGTGAAACGGCCTTCCATCTGCCCGGTTCCTCGCCCAGAGCCGAGTTTCTGTGCCATGCCCCCCCTGGGGGGAGGTCCTCTTCCGTCCCGGTCTCTCATCATGCCGCCCCCCACGATTCCGCGGGGCCCGCCGGGGCCTCTCTCATTGCGGCGGAGATCCCTGCGGTCGTCGCCCCCGCCGCGGGTCTCTCGCTCCCGAGCAGCTCTGGTTTTTTTCTCTTCCACGTTCAGGCGCACCTCGCCCCGGAACATAATGGGCTTATGGGGAAAAGGGGTCAAGGCACACGTTAGTCACCGCGTCACACAGGCC